GAGAATTGCTGCAGGCAAAGAACTGGAGCGATTGAATCAGCAGAGTTTGAAGACAAGCGCTGCGAGCAAACCTCACTGGCCCTGTTCCTGTGAGGTGTTCACTGGAGAGACAAAAAAAAGTACCATAAAAGTTTCATAGTTGAACAGGCAGCTGTAGGCCATGTATTGTGGCCGTTGAGACAAATGGCCCATGACTATGGCCTAGTTACCATGGGTCTGGATGCCTACAATACATTCAACTGCTTTTGTTGTGTAGCATTGCTGTTTTTGATGGGTGCAGCTGGCAAGATAGAGAGCATGTATGGCTTAGTCAATAAATGATTACTGGTCAAGTGTGTACTGCCTGCCATAGGCCTTGGGCTGAAGCAGGTTGGAAATGGGAGAAAAACATAAAATGGGGCCCAATGTATCATCAGTGTTTGACCTACGGCACCGGTGACTGCAGATGGGACCCTGGGAAGCACATGGCCATTTTTGTGGCTTAGTTTGAGGACTGATTTATTGGAAGAAAGGATGCCCACCAGCCTCCTTGTAGCCTTTGGAAGGATGATTCACCAAACATGTTATTAATTGAAGAACTAATCTTCCTTGTGGCAAATAGGCTGAGTTTCCTAGTTTGCAAGAGGTTTGTTCCGTGCTAGAACTGGATCATTGGGTGCCAGTTATTTTTTACGGATGTTTAGACTGCTTAATGATCTTTCTAGATGTATACAGGAATTAACTCTTGATTGCTACATGAAATAAATCTTCACTTAGGGACTGGGTCCTTCTGTCCAGTCAGAACAACAGCTTTTGGGAATTTAACACACTGCTGCCAGCTGAGACTCCAGTCGCTCTCCTTTGGTACTAATCAGAGATGCTCATGCTGGTTGATAAAGAAACCTTAAAGATGGCTGGATATGAATTCTGATGCTCACTGACACAATGTGTAATGTGTTGGTTTGCCACTGAAAACTTCAACAGCTTGTACAGTGTTTATGCTCCTGACTAGCAGAGGAAGCAGTGGGTACGCCATGGTGAATGTGAGCTGTACTGCTTGGACCTTCCTCCCCTTTGGGCAGTAGGGGTCTGTTCTAGATCAGGTTGTCCCACCTTAAACACCGACTTTGTTACTCTATCTGCATTGCCTGAGGGAGCTGGAAAACTACACAGTAATTAACTTGCATGCATTAGCCTTGAACTTAGCAAGTGGAGTTTCTAAACCAAGGCTTGTTTACTTCAGTCTGTGCAAGGGGAGTGAAGAGGGAAGGGCTTCTATGCACAAGGAAGGAAAGTGGGGGGGAAAATCTATGTTGTAAAACACCACAAAAGCAGCTTGGATGTTACTGCAGTCAAGCTGCTGCTCTGGAATAACAGTGCTGTTCTCCTTGGGTGTTTACAAACACGCACCTCAAGCTTTTAAGGATGTGAGGACTTAGGCAAGCCTAAGAAGAGGTCAGTCAGTCACGTTCCTTAATTTGAATGTATGAGGAGTCACCTATACCCGCTTTCTGCAGCTGACCCCATAAGGGGAACACTGAAATAACCCCACAGGAGAAAGTTACCATTGATAACACTGATGCAAGACATGTAGCACGTTCTTAGACGAAATTTGGAGAAGCTCCTCTCCAGTTCTTGCTGGGTGTTGTCAAAACATCATTCTATGGAAGGTCAAATTGTTTGTAACTGTGTGTTCCCCAACCAAAGGTCGTCATATGGATAAAGCATTAAGGAATAATGAGACTAAGTTAAAAGAACAGTTTCCAGACATGAATCTGAATGTCATTGTTGTATGATGTTTACATCAGAACTTCTGATGATGGAAAAACTGAATCTACCTTTTTGTTCGATTCAAAATCCCTCTGAATTCCAACATGCTGGCTAAATTCCAGCACACAGAGGTAATTGCTTCTTGCTAAACTACACCCCTCCCTAAATTTTATTCAGGGAACTTAGTGTAACTACTGCCTTCCGCTCACGCAAGTGGCTGCATACTGCTGTTGATCCAAACTCTTGGCATTATCTGCAGTGGAGAACTTCATTTTAATGGAGCCCACTTATCCCTTACACCATGTAGGTTCAGATGTTTTTATTAAAAAAAAATAAAATCCTTCATCCTTCCCAATAAGAGGGAAGACAAAGTACACTTCCTATCAAGATACAATGGATTATTATTTTTTTTTTTAATCTGAGGATGGGAAGAGAGAGACATGAGAACATCAGAAGAGTGATACCTGTGTATTCATGTGATACAATCCACCATCCACACCCAATAGCAAATGAATAGATTCCTCTGTGTAATTTCCTGGGGAAACCTGATTCAGTGACTGAGAAATCTCCAAAGAAAAGAACTGCTATTGATATACAATGTTTTTCAGGAGCATGGTTCCACAAACTGGCAAAGAGAACATTCCCAAGGTGTGGTGAAAAGCCCACGTAGCTGGGGTTACCCAAATAGTCATGACCCCAAATAAGAAAAAGATGAGGGGAGTGATGGCAGCAGCAGCTGCTGTCTTAGAGAAAGAAACAGAGAAATACGTTGCTTTTGATGGCCATGCTGAAGACTTCTAATTTTTATACGGAGAAACTCAGGATGCTTATGTTTCCTCTCATTTCCTGGAGCACTTAATAAGAGTGAAATATGCTGCATGAACTTGTCTGAATACGGAACTGTATGTAAACTGCCTCTCTGGAAAAAGAGCCTTTCAAGTTGCTGTCTTGATCCCTCCTGTAAGAATTGTTCCTTCTCCTGCATTGCTGTTGAATCACAAAGCAATCATCTAGTAACTGTTTGTCACTAAAATGCTTTCACTGGTTTTCCCCTTCAACAACACCGGGGAAGTTCCGCTCTGACAGTGCAAGTGGCTTTGAGTACATGTTGAAAGAGCAGTGCTGCAGTTTCATTCTGTGTGCTTGACCTGTCCTGGCTGTTGTTTGTTCTCTGTGTCCCAGCAGAGATGCAAAGAGCAGAGGCAGGAGCAGGGGCACCTGATGTAATGCTAATGTGGTGGTGTGGGGCTTACTGCTGCTACAAGCAAGAGAATCTTTCCATTTTCTGCTTAATGGCAGAATTTTCAAGATGGCTAAAACACAGTCCATACAATGAAAAATGTTTATTCCAAGTGTTTTCAACCACTGAGGCTAGTGGTGCCCAGAAAAGCACGGAAAGGCTTGTGCCCTGAAAGCCATCTGATACATGGGATGGATTTTTGGCCTTCTGGACACCTTGCTGGTGTACACTAGAAAAAGACTGAAAGATCTCACCCTCTCCTGTCTCCCAAAAGAACAACTCAGCTCCTGCTTCTTAAATGTTTAATTTCAGCACAACACAATCAGTATAATGCTCTGTTTGAGTGGTTACTAGAAAACCAGCTGGGACGGGTCTGAAGTCTTTCAGCTGTTCCTTGTCCCTCGATCTGAATGGATGCAAATCCCACAGAAAAACTTGGACTAGTGCTTCCAGATATGCATGCTGTAATAACAGCTGGCCACTGCGTAGTTGAAATGGACGGAGAAAATTGAGTGAAACTGGCAGACTAAATCTGTTTGTTTGCTTCTTGCTCTCCACCCTACGATTTCCACCCTCTCATCCTGTACAAACATTGAACAGAGACTTTGCCATTCAGTACTGCTCACGCTCTTTTTCCCCAGGACTATCTCACCTGCGCTCTCATATTCAGCGCACCTCAGTGTCCTAAACTGGGGATAAGGACCACTGTAATAAACATGTCAAGACAGAGTAATGAAGACAGAAGTAAAACGAGAGCCAGCAAGATTTGTTTGTCATCTTGGTGTTGATCCTAGGTCTTGATGAATCTGCAGCATTTTCATCTGTGACTAGCAGAAGGGAACTGTTTCACTGTATTTCTGCTCCTACTGAAGTACTTACTGGAATGTTACCCCTCCACCTCTGAACAGGATGAATCTTGGGTATGGTTCTACTAGCTTCAGCGAGTGCACACAGCTGCAATCAGACTGCCAGAAAAGAGAGACTGCTACAGATGTTAGCCAGTCATTCAGCAGTGCACGAGTCCAGCACGGCAGATCTGCATGTGAACGTTTGGGAATTCTGTTGTTGTATATAGCTGCAAAGACAAAACTGATTTCTATGTGTAAGTTTGCCATGTAAAGAAATAGACAGATCTAGCCTTTCTTTTTAATAATGTTTTAGGACCAGGGTACAAAAAAAGGTTAATGCATTCATTTTTAAGACAAGTGATAAATGTAATGCAATAAGCACATCCTACATACACAATATATTTCTCTATATAATATGAACACAGATATAAAATAAGTTATACTTGTCTTGGTTTTTTTATCACAGTAGGAACTCAGCTTATATAAAGTGACAACAGGAATTGGAACAAAATGCTGCGTTAAAGCAACAACAAAAACCAAAAGAGTGCATGTGTGAGTGACTGTGTGTGTGGGGGGAGGGATAAAATAGGAAATTGAAAGATTTCTGTCAAAATCAAGTCTTGAAAACAGAAATTTTATGAAGTATTAAAAAAAGGAAGGTCTCTAGACTCAGGGTAGAGGTTGTGGAGGGCTCTGAGCATTACTGTGTGGTGAGGAGGAGGGTAGGTGAAGGCTGTCAACATCTAGGTTATATTTGTGGGGGCACAGACAGCGGAACAAGCTCTGCTCTGTGTTCTCTGCTCTTTTGACAGACCATCTATGTGACAGTGCTGCATTCTTGGCTTTACAGTAAGAATGGGACCTAGTAACTTTCACTGCACACAATGACAGTAAACGTATCGCTTCACACGAATGATGAATACCACCACTGTTTAAAGGCGTTTGAAAGAGAACTTCTGAAATGACCAGAGAGTCGGGGTGTTCTTCCTTTCCAGCCCACCTAAAGTCTGCCTCTAGTGCCCCTTCCTTCTGTTTCCTTTGGGATGGTTGTTTCCTTGGCCATACTTGGGAAAACTGACCTCCTCGAGAGAATGAATAGGAGGCAGAGGTGCTTGGGAATTCTTAGTGCCTATTCCACAGTCAATAATGAGGAACTCCAGATGCACAGTTCAGAGCTGTTTTTTTTTTTTTATTGTTATTTTAAGGACTTGCATCTAACAATGAATCAGATTCCTAAAACTTTTTAACCGAGGGACTTAGAATTTGGTATTTCTTATTATTAGGAGGTATTCCTTAATTTGGTCAACAGCTTGGAGATCTTTCTTCTTCACTGTCAGGAATCTCAGCCTCCTGAGGTTTGCAAAACCAGTAAAGACCACAATGTGTGGCCAAAGCTCAGGAGTGGCACCAGTAGCTAGCAGGTTTCTATTAGTGCTTTCTCTGAGAAGATGCAGCCCTCTTGAGTTTTCCTTCCATTTTTGCTACTCAATTTCTTCTAATCTCAAGATCTTTTCTTTACCTCCATGTTTACAGACTACACATGAGAAAACGGGGACATTACACTGGAAGAATTAATTGCATATTATCATGAAGATTTGGACTTCTGCTCTGCTTTAGTTTTTTTTCTTCATACAGCAGAATAGGTATACATTGAAAGGCAATCTCACATCTAAAGGTATAATTTAAGTAAACATTTCTCTAGATCCTTCTCCTCTCCATTTCCCTGTCCCCTGTAACCTTCCTTTCATTCTGTTATTTTCCTTTTGGATGGAGGGAGGAGATGGGAAGGGAGCTCGTTTGGCAGCTCGTGACCCTCCAACTTGACTTTAATGAGATGATTTGCCAAGGCAAACTCCTCATCATCCAGCATGCCATCTTTGTCGATGTCAGCCAGTTTCCAGATCTTGCCCAGCACTGTGTTAGGCAACTTAGACCTTACCATCTCCTTCTTTGCATTGGCACCAGTTATTTTACCATCGACAGGTGACAGTGTGTAGAAGATCTCATCATACATGGGCTTGTCTCTGGCCACCACCCACTCAGCATCATCGATCCCTTCGCCAGCGCCTTCACCATAGCCGTGGCCAAATGGACCATGCAGGGTGCCCTCGAAGGCTCCTCCCTTCACCATCTGGGTAGGCCGCTGTGACTCCTCCTGGCGTACAAGCACCATGAGCTGGGCGATGTCATTAGCCAGCATGTCTTCCACAGTCTCCAGCAGCTTGCTCTTCAGAGGCTGGAACTTGCTAAAATCCTGGGCCTGCAACTGATCCTTAAAGCAGGACAATGGAGCAAGAGGTGAGTGACATGGCTGTGCTCAGGGCAGTAACAGTGCAGAGTCCGCTCCCTGTCTGCAGTCTGGCTCAAAAACTCCTCGTGTAGAGGAAGAGCAGGAAGAATAGCACTCTCTCCTCCAACAGTCCTGCTCCTTGGCACGTGATAGGGTTTCCCTGGCTGGTCGTGCTCTTACATCCTTTTTAAGCCCTGCAGAGAATAGTCTTCCTAGCTAACAGAGGGGCTGATATGGTACAGAGAAGATTGGGGTTTTACCCAAAGGTCTAGATGATGGCAGTAAGAATGTAAAATAAGACTTCCTTTCCAAACTAAGTTGAAGTCCTCTGCTTGAGGACCAAACTGTTCAGAGCAAACTGTCTGTGCAGTTCTTGCTATGTCTTCTAGCTGGTGCTCTGCATTCCCTCTCCTTCTGCACTCTGGTAAGGAGTTGTGACTTTGACAAAAGACTACTTCACTGATAAATCCTTTGTTATTATACTGTGCATCTCTCAGATGCCATAAATATGCTAGATCTTCACAGCCTAGCTCAATTTTGGTAATTTTCACAGCTAAGCAAAAGTGATTTGACCAGGGACTGCAGAAATCTCATACAAATGAAAAACAACATACAGCTTTATCTTTCACCTGCTACTCATTAAATCCAATGTATTCACTCCTACTGGAGTGGCATAACTATTCTTGAACATTTAATTGCATACTTGAACAAGCAGTGAATGGGACCTTCTATTGGGTATACTCGATAGATCTCATTCTCAATAACTTACGGAAAATACCCTGTTCTACTAAAAAGATGAGCAGCTGCTGTGTCTTTCACAGTAATGACTTCAACAGCTAGTAACTTTGAAGAGGCTTCTGCTTGGATTGAAGCCACACACCAACATAGCCATGCCCTGCATTGTTCAATTATACAATACAAGGCTCTGATCCAAGGTCCTTCAAGTCTTTGATTTGGATGAACACTGGGACAGGTCTTAGCTCTACAGCTCAGCAAGCTTGCTTCATTGCTTAAAACAGATAAGGGGCTTTTAAATTTTTACTGTTTCTTTCTGGTTCTTGCTAGAACCAGAGTGAAGTAGAGGAAAAAAAAATACAGCTCCTGAGATATATGTAGGGTTTCTGGAAGATGTACCTTTCTTTTCAATATAGATTAACACTATTCTTGGGCCTGGAGAATCTAAAAATGGAACACGGAATTAAAAACTGACAACATAGGATTTCATTCATTTTCTTAAGGGCTACTTAGGCAAAGCTTCAGAAACTAAGGTAGCAGTAGCTTCATGTGAGCTTGATGTGCAAAAAGTGTTTACACTCAAACACAATCTGCACACAGTTCAAGGCTTGCTTCAAGACTGCAACGGGGCTTTTGCATAGGCAACAATAATCAAGGTCTGCATTGTGGCTTCTGTCCTATTTCCTGCAGTTACTCTAACACTTTTTCCTTGTGTGTCTGATACTTGGGACAAGATGCCACTACTTACCTGCATCTTTCTCAGATTAGGGAAGTCTCCTGGTGAGATCTGATGCTCTCGTTCAATGCGGGCATAAATCTCTCCCAAGTTGTTAATAAGCTCTTTCTTTTTATTGTCTTTCCCAAACACTGAAGGCATTTCCTTCTTTAAGGAACTGATGATGTAGGCATGGACCTGAAAGGCATTAAGTGACACAGAATGTAGAAGATATACTAAAGAATGCACCACAAATTTTCTTTCCCAGTGGACAGCGTGTGTGCCTAGGAGTCAACTCACATCACCCCCTCCTGAAGAAGTTCAGCTCCTCAGTTTGCATCTATCTGCTGTTTATCACTCCAGAGCTGAGAGCTATGCAGAGAATAGGGGAGGGCAGTGTAGGAGCCTTGGGTATGCAGAGTAATACAGCCACTTTCTAGGGATGTGTTTTTCTTCTGCGCAGGCTTTCAGAGAATAGCCACTTCCCAGTCCAAACCAAACATACAGGTTTTGAAGCTTTCTAGACTCTGTTTAATGTTTTACCATGAATGAGTCTTTGACTTGCACAATGCTATGATATTGTGTACTTTGTATGTGAGAAATGTACAGACCTAGAACAATGATTTTCATAAAACTAAGTTTGTGTAATGTTTCTTGTTGGCACTGGTCATTCCAGAAGGCAGAATTCCACTTTCCCCAACAGAAGTGATTAATGGCAGTAAATTTTAAATGAAATATTCTTGCTTTTTTTTTTTTTTTTTTAATGGTGTAAGAAGTTTTTTCCCTCACAGTATTCCGAACAACTTCATTCAGCTTCTTTTAAATAAGAGATGGAACTTCTGGCAGTGCCCATAAGTTATTTTTCCCATGCTTGTGGCAGGCTTATCTGCCATTCTTGTCAGTCTCCACCTCTTCCGCATCCATCTAAGGCAGATTTATCTCCTTAAGGCAAAAGACTCCTACTTTCCTTGGTGTGTGATTCTGACATATTGTATTTGTCTGAATTCTCAGTTTGCTAGCAGTCTAGCTGCTTTCCACATTTCCCCAAGAACTACTTTCTTTGACCTGTGGCAACTCTTCACTCAGGCCTGTTACGACTGATGCACCAAGCAGAGGCAGTAGGCTCTTCCTCAAAGTGCATAGGACAAATACGCTAGGCCTCTGAGTGAAATGAGAAAAGGGGAAATAAAAGAGGCAGGATCCACCAGCTACATGAGCTAGACCAGCCAAAACCACTTCTCCATTACTGTGCATACTGTGGGTGGCCCAAACTAAATGCTTGGGCTCCTTTATGCCAACACTCACCTTGGCCAGCCGTGCCCGCTTGATAAGATCGTTCAGCTTCCTTAGGGCTGCGTTGCGGGGGAGGCTCTGGATATCCCTGAACAGGTCCTGCTCCTCTGCCTCAAACAACTTGCGGTTATCAGGGATGAGCAACGGATGGGACCAGAAGGAGCCAATATAGACTCTGATGACCTCCGGTGTGTTGACAATCTTTCCCAGGGACCACATGAGAGCACCGTACACCCTCATCAGTTGCTGGGTCTCTATCTGGTCAGCTTTGTTGAGAACAACTCTCATCTTGTCCTCGTGGTTCTTCAGGGCCTTGATGACCTCTGAGAATTCATCAGAGATGTCCAGCTTGTGCGCATCAAAAAGGAGAATGATGCGGTCAACCCGCTCTGCAAACCACTCCAACACAGCAGCAAAGTCATAACCTGCAAGGGATGGAAGAAGAGTAGAGATGTACAAGCAAGCCTGGCTATTGTTTCTATTTCCTATTCAGAGTCAAAAAAGTTGCCTTACCCAACAGGAAAAGGGAATTAATACCTGCTGGTATCTTGGTACATTCCTTGCTGCTATGGTAATGTACCATATGTGTTTAGAACATCCCTGTGGATTTCATTACATCTACAGATCGATCAGCAGTGTCTGTCTTTCTCAGCTTCTTTGTGTGTTGGGAGAGAATCTACTGACAGCTGTCCTTCACCAAAGAGAAAACAAAGCCCTGGAATAACACTTGGTGATGCTTCAGAGCAACAACATGGGCTGGATTACATCCTGTGCTGAGACAAAACCCTGATCCACATGCTCCTCTCACATGCCACGCTCACTGGGACTATTAGGTGAATGTGTGAGACCTTTCCTGTATGTGCTGAGACATATTTCTCTGTGTGCAGTTCTACCAAGTGCTGATTACATCTGTCCTTACTTTCCTGCATGGAAGTAGCAGGAAAACTAAGGTTTATGTTTTTAAGTGACAGAATTATTTAGAGAAGAGGAAAAACACTGAGTGTAATTTCCCTTCACGTACAGTGTGACATGTGGAAAGGGCACGTGGGACAGACCTCTGTTGACAGCCGTTGACTTGGAGTCATTGACAGAGCTCTGTGATGGTGTTTTCCCACACACATGCCCAGAGAATTCCCACACAGAAAATTCACAAGGTTGACTTTTTAGTTTTGCTTTTAGCATATGAAAGAGTAGATTACTATTAAAGCATTTGAATAGCAGGGCAACAGGGTACAGAACTTTTAAGGGAAAGCTGTTAGCGTAGATATTAAAAAAAAAATAAGATGAATAAGTTTAGTTCAGAGCTCATTTTTCGAGGACTTTTCTATAGTGTAGAGAACTCGGGATGTTTTGTCTAACTTCAGCCAGAGCTGGAGGTGTTCCACACCTGAAAACATACAAAGTTTATTCTGTAATTAAATTCAGCCTTACTTCAACATTCTTTTTACCTGGTTTTTATCTCACAGGTTCTTCTTCCACTTTATTTCCATGTAAGATTACATCAAAAACTGATTTTGACCTACTCTCAAATTAGGTGTTCTGGGTCTGAAGTGTCCTCCTCGCTCATTCCATGGTAATGTGTTGTTTCTTTACACCCTATCTTAGTGTTGTGGAGGGTTGCTAAGGGCTCTCACAAAAGCAGCCAGATTTGGCAGTGTTTCACTGATGAGTGAAGCTATCCACATATTGTAGCACAGTTTATTGTAAAGCTACAGAGCATTTGCAAAGCCATCTGCCAAAAGCTGCATACAAGTAAAACCATTATTACAGAGACGTTCAGACAAATGTGAAGGGGAACATTTTCTCTCCAGTGATTCCTGGCTGTGCTTCTATTGAAAAACATGCCTATTTTAAACAGTTTGCTATTAGTGATGTGGATTCTTTCACAACTTCCAGATAAGGTTGTGAAAGAAGAACAGATCAGAACATGGACAGAAAATGAATCTCAACTATACAGCACTCTAAGAAAATAGCCAAGATGAATACGATAAACATTTCCTTCTGTTAGACTATTTTTTTTTTCATGGGGACAGATTTTTTTCTGATAGCATGAAAAGCATTTGACAGATGTAACACAAAGCTGACAAGCGAGCAGGGTTGTCAGGAAATGGAGAAAATGATCTTCTTGCAAACATCTCATCATCCAGTCTCCCTAAGGCGGGCTATGGCTTAATGAGTAGCTATCCGTGAGCTTCCAGTATACCTGGCAGCACATATTTAGTTAAGATATGGCAGGATTATGCAATTACTTTATGTCAAGCCAGACCAAGAATGACACAATCTTTATGCTGACTGTGGGAAGACAGATGATACCTTACACAGCATAAAATCTGCCTGACTGTAATGTCTTTAAGCCAGTGAGGGTGCACGCAGTGGCTCAGCATTTCTCACCATCTAGCTATACCGGTTGTTTTTTGTTCCCAGGTTGTTTGCTTCTGCCTGATAAGTGAGCACGTTCTACTGGATTTCTCATCTTGGGGAACTATGGCCACAGACCCTGTGCTTGCAATGGGGTAGGACACAAAGCTCCTGCTTTATAGCAGTTATCTTACAGCTTGCTGTTAGAAACATTTTAGGCTGGGCAGCTGCTTTTTGTTCTTCACCTCCTTCTTGCTCAGTTTTAGCCACTGGGAGCTCTCTTCACACCATCCTGTTAATAATCTACAGAATAAAAACCTACCAGGATCACAGTCCATCCCTATCTGTCAACTGACAGGTTGGCATTGTGCGTCAAGTACCTGAAGACACCATCAGCAGAAGACAAGGTAGCTAGAAACAGCAAACACTGACTACCTAGAGAGGGAGCAGCTCTGGCAGATGAGTGCCTATTCCAGACAGATGATTACTTAATCTGTATTTTTAAAGTGAAAAAGAGAGTCTGAAGGCTAATTCTAAATGAGTGACAGGAATGCCCTTCTGAAAGCACTTCAAGGAAGATCCCAAAAAGGCTAAACGAGCAGGTATCTACACTAGAGAAGAACGTAGCAGGAGGGAGGGACAGGTACCACCTGAGTCTGGCAAATGGCTGTAAAGGAAGGAAAAGTAACATGGAAATATTACACAGGTTTTGGAAACTTAAAAGTTTCCAAAGCACAGGTAAAGGGAGTTGAGTAACTCTACAGAAAATCTGCATAGTGTTCTCAGCTAAGAAAGACAGGCTGGTATCAGATTTGTAATGCTAACACAGACGTGAATGAGTACCTGGAGAGGCACACCATGGCCTTTTGCTTTTATGTTGTTTAATGCAATGGTTTCATGGCTGGGAAGAGACTGGGAGCCTGACAGAGTTCTTACTTCACGTCACTGGAAACAAAGGGAGATCTCCCTAGACAAGTTCAGTTCAGGTGAAGTAAAACAGATGAAAGTATTGTCCAGAGCCAAGTCTCCTTACAAAAGCCTGTTCAGCTTCTACTTACACACAGTAGAGTTTTTCCTTTCTACTTGTTACATGTTTATATCTTTGTCATTTGTGACAGATGGACCAAGTATTTCCTGGTATCTTGGCCAATACTCAAAACAGTCCATAGTCAGACTTAAACTTCATAGTCCATAGTCAGACAGAAACTTCAGAAGGTATCTGAATCCATTTTTTTTAGAGCAGTGCTGATGCACAGACAGAAGTACAGGAATAAATTAATTCCATCCCTCTTCCCTAAAAACAAACAAAAAACTCATAAACTTGATCTTCATTTTTATTTTTTTAGTTTGCATTCTGCTTTCAAGTCAGAAGAGTTAGCCAGGCTCATGACATCAAATATTTCTACAAATAAAAGGGGCTTAAGTTGTGCAGGTTCTCTGCTCTTTTGCCTTGTTCTTAGAGGAAGCTGGCAGAGTGGCTATTGCACTGCAGTAATGGTAGTGAAATGCAAAATGCAAGCAAACATAATTGCAGGAAACTGTTACAGCAAGTGTACGAAACGTCTCCTTTTTAGATGCTTAGAGGTTGTGTCATATTGTCAAAACATGTGACAAAACTCTTTGGAAAAAGATGTTTTCTTATTGCTTTTGTACCCTAAGCATTTAATGAAGGGGGGAATATTGATTCTCTTGGTATTTGCCTTTCTCTTCCAAATATAGCTGTTTGAAATTCAGTCAGAGCTCTGGAATTGCCTAAGACTGATACCTCCTATCACTTTTTCTTTCACTTCCAGGAGTAACTATCAATTTGAAGTACTGAAGCTTCTGGTCACTGGTCCTTGCTTCTCCTTCCCTTCCTAGAATAGCAAGCAAGGCTAGCATGTTTTTCCCTTGACGAGGGAGCTGAATAGAACAGTCAGCTGAATAGAACAGGGTGGAAGACTGGAATAGTGTGTCTGGAAAGAAAGCTGATGGGCAATGATACTGCCAATCCTCATCTCCTTGCTATGACCTTGTGTTCACTGCTAAAGAGGAAAGGGAGGAGGTGACATACATCGGATGAAGATGAAGCAAGTGTTCAGCATGTATTCAGGAAGCATGACCCTGAAACAGGGGTCAAATGCTACTTGGCTATAGCATTGCTGAACTTGGCAGATTTGGATTTGCTTAGGTCTGTGCGTGTGTAGGTTGAGACTGATAGCTAGTGGAGTGTGTAAGGCTCATTGTCCAGGGATGCACTGCTATTGAAGTGCATGAGTTGCTGCTAGGTGGTAAAAGCAGACTACACCAAATGATAAATTATGACTAGCTTCTATCTTGGCTCTCCTTTACTACATGACTTGATCTGTGGTACTCCCCTTTGTCCCTGTTTATTTCACTACAGTTCCACCTTTTCTCATCTTCCCCTGTTGCAGATGCTGGACTGTCATGTGACATGTGTGCAGTGCTTTGCAAATGGATTGCATCCATACTGATACCAAACTGTCAAAGCAGCTGACACTGTGCTGCTTTGGTACAAATACAGCAGTCTGTTGCTGTATGATGCATAGCTGGAGACAATAAAAACTAATAAATGTTAAAATAAAAAAAAAAAAGATGCAGAGTGAGGGATGGAGCAGTGTGATGAGTAATTCCTCATACATGACAGTTAGGAAAAAGACCAGAGGAGAAATGGCTGTTTTCCAAGTAAGAACAGTAGAGAAAATAGTGGGCAGGATGCTTTGGGAATACTTCTCACCAGCCTCTTAAATGAAACCCGTATATCTGGGCACCTAGTTACCACATACCTGTGAAACCACCTGCCATGGAGGAGTCCACAAGTCAAAATTGCTCAGTCTGACAGATCAGTGCAGACTATAATTACTATTTTATTTATTTTTAACTAGAGTCTCAATGTAGCAGCAGCTGTACCAAGTGCTGGTGATTTCACTGCATGCCTAGGGGATGTGGACTTCAGATATGAGAGACTACATCAACCTTTCCTGCTTGACAGGCCTACTTCACCAGGCACTGAATTTAAGAATTCAGACAGATGAGAAGCTTCAGAACCTGGTCTTGGGCCTCTGAATCATTCCTCAAAAGGCAGTTTCCTTGTCACTGATCCCTTAAGTGTAACAGTGCAGATGATGAGCCCTGATGGATTGCTAAGCTGGCACTGGGGGTAAGCAGAGCTACCCTGTTTCAGCAGTTAAAGAACTAGAAATTCTCTGGGGAAACCTCTCCCAGCTTTTGCTTCATTCCCAAGTGAAAGCTGAGCAGGCTGGAAAAGTACAGAAAGACAGAAGTATTTTGTTGTATAAGCAGTTTTGGCACTGTCATGTTTTTTTGCCTAGAAACTGCATCGTTGCTCTGTCTCCCTCCAAAACCAACCTGCTAATCATGGCAGCTGGCTTGTGAGCTTGGTAGCAAAGGCACCCAGCCTCACCACTTTTTCCTATTTCTCTGCCACAAAAGCCAGGAGGTGAGCATTCCCTTTCAAACATTGGCTTCCCATAAGCCAATGCCTGGCAGCAGCCCTTCTTATACATAAGCACTCAGCCCTCTTCTGACTCTTCTTGCTCCCTGGGCTGGGTACCCTGCAGACAGAAATCACTGAAGCTCTTCCAACATCAACAAAGCTCTGCTGATCTAAACTGGATGAGGTGCTTGTCCTGTAGCTATTGACAAGCAAACTGGTGTGGCTCATGTGATCAGCTGTCCTGGGTCTACGTGACTATGTAGTGAGATCCCAAACAATCTGTACTTTCAGTTTCTCCCAGATGCTTGGGGAGGTGTTTGCTGGCTTGGGGCAAAGTGCATCAGTGACTTTCCTAACAGCACTGCATTGTGTGCTCTGGCACTGCTGGCATATAATCCAGCTATACGATTGGGACACCAAGTCCACTGGGAGGCTGATGGAGAAAAACTGCAAAAAAAGGAGCAAGAAGTGCCAGTACATTTTGCAGAAGAATATTTTTAGTAACAGAAAGAGATCTTGTAATATATGTCAGGACTTGAAGTGATGAGGAGAGGGATATGGGAAAGTTTTTTTGTGCCTTAAAAAGGTTCAATTTTAACTCATATTTTATTATTTTTTTTAAAGAACAAAAATGTTTTATCCTAAGCAAATGTTCATCACAATGATTGTTCCAGAAGAGAACTGAGTACTTTTAGTGTTGTTTTGTTGTTGTTTTTTTTTTTTTGGCCGAAAAACGTTTACATAATTTAAGCTTTTATTTAACTCTAACACTACAGAGCACTTTCTGCTGAAGGGAGGAACGCTGGCACAGCATGTTTTTAACCTGATGAAGGTGTGTGCATTTTGCTATCCTTTGTAGACTGCTTGGAAGGAATTTGTGGGGTCATCCTGAAATACTAGGAAGCTCACTAAGAGACTTTGTGCATTCATCAAATGTATTTAATATCTAGAAATGCTGAAAAATTGTGGATGTCTGTGTTTCTCACACCTCATCCAGTCCAGCCAAGATCTGGGAAGCCTGGAAGCAATTGTTTGTGCAATACAGACAAGATGGTTGACTGACACTTTCTGATGGAAATCTGCTCTGCTGGGGAATACTGGACTGATACAGACATTACTGACACTGTCAGCAACCTTCAACCTTCCCCAATAGTATTCAAATTCTCTTTAGCAAATAGCAAATCAAGCTGAAGGGGAATGAGTAGTTGTGCAGCATCTCTGAGAGGCCCCTGCTAGTCCTTCTGTCTAGAATGTGTACAGCTTGAGAGGAAACTCATACAGTCCAATTGGTTTTAATTATTATCATTTGGAAGAGAACTGAATCTGGCACTTACCTCTGCTAATTCTCTGCTTTTCTCCAGAAAGGATTCCTGGTGTATCAATGACACTGATGCTCTCTAATACAGGATTAGGTAGCTGGGCACATACAAACCTGTGCAAAAATAAACGTTTAAAATAAAACTGAAAGATTCTTGTGATGCAATGAACATTACAGGCAGCATGGGAAAGTGAAGGCTCTGATCTCCCTTAAAACGAGTTTTCGGATGAGGTTTGGAGCTACTCCTCATTTAAAGAAATGAAAAAGTGGCCAGAATTGAGCACTTTCTCTGGTATGGTTTTTTCAGAACACAAGGTTCAGTTATGATCTATGATGTGGGTCGTTTTTTTTTTGTGGCTCCTATATTGTGAATTATTAATGAAAAACAATATAGAAATCCAAATGTTTTTATTTGCCATTCAGATTTTAGTGAGAAGTGGTATTTCTTTTTTGTCATTTGAGCATTCCCCTGCAGGGACCTGAACTCAAGTAAATTGAAATAACTTCAGTAAATCAACAACGTTGTAAGCTTTTTTATCTATTTTTACATCTAGTCTTAAACAGAAAGTGTGCTATCTGTGCTGTTCTCCCACCATGGAAATCCTAAGTCTGAGCAACATGAGCTCTTAAGAATTGACTTAGTCTATCCTCCTGCCTTAAGGCAAGATCAATCAGATGTTTATCTGAAGTGTTCTTCAAACCTGTAAGGATGTACATTCAACATTCTCAGAATTTTGCTGAGAGTCTACTTATTCTTGAAGCAAAAACTTTTTCTTAATGTCTTATCTAAATCTGCCATGCTACAATGCTTTTTAGTCTAAAACACAGTAGACATGGAAAATGGTTTATGTTCTCTCAGTTCTGAGAAAAGACCCTCTGCTGTCATTGTATCTTGGTGTTTCCTATAGAGAAAGCTACATTTTTTAAAGTATCTCTCATTCTTTCCAGCTGCTGTTCTAGTTCATTTTCTAAGTTACCAAAGACCTTTGCAGTTTTCCTTTCAATTCCTCTCCAATTGTTCTACGTATTTCTCAAGGGATAATGCCCCAAAATGATGTGGTTTTCCAGCCACAACCTTGTTAGTGATGAACAGAGTGGATGGATGTGTACCTTACACGTGACAGTACTGTTTATATCCCTAAGGAAGAAGTTTGCTTTTTTCCTAGCAATGTGATGCTGCTGATTGACACCAGGTTTCTAATTCATTCACTCCACTCCCTTCCACAGCTTAATTTCTGTGTAATTCCTCTGCACTTAGTTTTCACTGTCTACACAAATCGCTAGCTCACAAGAGTACCCTGTGCCTGTTCTCAGAAGGATGGAGATCTTGTTTCAGTTGCTGATAACAGCAAAGCACAGCAAAATCCTACCTGTTTACACAGTTTGTGGTTGCATTTCATGGATAGTCTTTTTCTGACGGTATTCCAGGCAGCTTTAAATGTGTGCCTACGTATGTGTATTAATAGGGTGGTAAGATGTTGATGCATTAAAAAAATGTTACTGTGGGAAGAAGCAGAAGCACATAAAGGACTGAGCTGCCACAAAGGCCACTGCATGCAGTGAAGGCAGACAGAGCCTCTGATGAATAGCTGATTCTGATGAAGTCCCACAGCTACAAACTCCTGCAGACTATGCTACAGCCTTATTCTTTTTTTTTTTTTCTTCTAATGAGTAAATTATTATGGGTTAGATAAGCATCTTCATGCCTAAGCTGTCAGGTATTTCAGCCCAATATTTCTGCCTCTTTCCTCTGTCCGCAGCCTGGTAGGTGGTAACAGAAGTATTTTTGAATGAATGCATAACACCTCATGCAGAAGAGGGGAGCTAGCTTGGCTCTCCTGATGTGTGCCAGGCATAGCAGCAGAGAATAAATGCTCAGGAGGTCATGTTATTCCCTTTTCTGCCAGCCCAGGTTTGTTCTCCATTGTTACGGCCCTAAGCATTTCTTGCAGCCCTAAGCATTTCTGACATTTAAATGGCTCAGGCAAGGGGATTTTCCATCAGTTTCTCCAAGGAAAGTACTCCACAGGAAATTTTAGATAGAAGGTTAGGGGCCAACATGAATAAGTGCTTTCTGGCTCTGTGGCAAGGTTGTTAAGGATGCTGCCTTCCTGTTGTCCCAGCAGAACTGCAGTACCTCAGGGAACACTATTTAGTTCTGTCCTGAACCACACAAAGGAAAGAGTGTGATGCCAAACCGAACTTTTACTACCCTTAAGGGTAGAGCATGGCTTTAAAAATGGAACCTACTATTCATGATGTCTTCTGTTGATAACAAAAAGGCACCTCTATCTTAAGCTTCCCAAGACAGATCTGAGGGGGTAAGAGGAATCTTGCAATCATCGATCAAGCCAAAGTGATATGAAAGTAATGGCTGAGATTCTTGATTTTATGCCAGGCACTTGGTGCCAAATAAGCCCTCCGAGGTGCTGCCTGTAATCTCTCTGCTGGGATCCCTCCAAAGCTGGGGTACTGCCAGCAGAGCTGGAGAGAGGAAAACAAGCCCCACTCTTGATACTCAAGAAGTACCTGGTACAAGGAGACTGGGAAAAGAGACAAGTTCTGAGCAGAGTACTGCAGAGCTGCCTTCTCCTTTCAGCCCAGGGCAGCTTGTCAACCCCACCTCCAGCCTTAACCAGGAAGGTATGCATAGGCACTTGGAAATGGAGAAAGAAGAGAGGCTCTGAGCAGCAAAATTAGTTGTCTCCCAGACAAATCCTGACTCTTTCCTTGCTTCCTGGAAGGTGGCAGATCCTAGTCTCTACTGGGAGGGGTGCACCAGCTGAGGCAGGATGCTTACTGCTTTTGCACCCCTATTTAGCTCTCCAGAAGCAGCAGGCTCTGCACCACATTGGACGTAGTACTGCAGACTGCCACCTCTCATATGAGATGAGTACGGTCAGTGCAAACACTGCTGCCTTGTGCTGCTCTGTTGCTTTCCACTGGTTTTCTCACCCAGAGGTAAAACGACCTGCCTGTTGTTGCTCTCTCACCTCAGTTTAGAAGAGTGGCTGCTGGAGGTCACTTTAGAATTTAGAATTTCCAGCTCACAACTTCCTACCTGAGGGAAGTGCCTTAGCACTCACACAGCAGCACCAAGGCAGAGACATCTTTGCACTGTCTCTTGTACAGAAGATGGGTCTACAGTATGAATAAGCATGGGTGATTTGATTAAGCTCAGTGGCTGTATGCTTACATCAGCTACATTTCCAGCCCTCTCCGAGTTACTTCTTGGTTAAGCTCAGTTTCCTAATTGACAGGACATTACCATCTGCACCTTCAGCACTGTGATGCTCATACTGTTGAGCCATTCCCTTCAGTGTGTCATCTTCTGCCAGCCCAGAAATCTTTTTTTAAATGTGTTTTCAGGAAGGTTAATTAGCTGTCCTGACTACTCTCTGCATTGCCACCAGTACTGCATCTCAACTGCTGCTGAATCACTGCTGTGTCTCTCTGCCCTCCTGTCCAACAGGCAAATGCTTGATGCTTTCTTCCCAAGAGAAAAGTGGTAGGAGAGAGTAATACCACAGCATGATGAAGTGAACTAGGCTAACGGACACTTAGCAACAGCAGAGATTGCTGTAATAAAAGCAAATTGTATTTGGAACATTATCAGTCAGTCCAGCTAGCTTGCTTTTTGCCATCTATGCCTGGCTTTGCAACTCTTACTGTTGCTTCTCTTCAGCAGTGGACTGTTAGCCAGTTGTGGCTGCTACTGGCTACTGGCAGATCACTTTTGGATGACATTCTCCACATTTACCGTTTCTGTTCTTCAGACAGGAAGCTTGTTGCACTTTGCCATGTAGGGTGTGGGCAGCTACTTGACCTGTCAGCTAGGTATGGATGTTCTGAGCTCTGCAAGATTTTGAAACATATCAAGTCTGTCTAACAGAGGACCAAGTTGCTGTATGTGAGCTTGCGTTCTGAACAGATATTGCTACCACTGTGAGGTTCTCTGAATAAGCAATGATGAGAGAAGAACCTAATCAAGCTTCTCCCCATGCTTCTCCTTCCCTTGCCTGTCTCACTACAGTCTACACCAGCATGCCCACGGACAGTGCAGATAGGAGACGCCACAGTCTACAACTTGAAACTCTCAAAGCCTGGAAGTCAAAAATGGAGTCAAAGCCCATCTTTCCTGGTTGTTTGGCTGAGTAGCTGCCATGTTTGCAAAGTCTCCCGCACTGTGTTAATATGGATGGGTGTAGTTGGACAGTTTGTTCCTATCTGCCTGGTGGAGCACAGTTTGTGCACATCTAGGATATGGGTGTGTGCTGTTAGCTTCCTGCAAGGCCTAAATCCAAAACTCAGGATGACTGGAGTACATTTATGGAATGGAAAGGTTACAGTCCTGGTGTCCCAGAGCTGCTGTGTAAAGCCCCCCCACCTTAAGACAGTTTCATATGATAATGTAGTATCTTCTCAGCTGTTTTTTGTTAGTATGTGAGGCTGAATGGAATGTATAAGGCCTCAGAATGGAGGGTCATCCAAGTAACATTTAAAAAAAAAAACGGAGGGGGGCAGCTGGGCAAGAAAGCAGAGATGGGGATATTGTGCCAGTTCTGCCCTAGTGACTTTAGGGGTTGCTTCTGATTGGAATACTTATCTTCAGAGAACTGAGCTGACTGCTCAGAAATAGCAAGGAATATTAATGCAAGGGAAAATGAAATATAATGATAATTTATGTCCGGACTCCTACAGCATGAGTATTATAGGCTGTGCTTTGTTCTTTGTTTCGTTTGTTCAAGTAAAATTAAGGTTTGACCCACCTGACTTTATTAATCCCTTCAGTGAGTGACTGATGTGTTTGTGGTAGGACTGGAATGGCTTTGCATCAGCCATGTGGATGGGAGTGGTGAGGAAGGACAGAAGAGCAGTGTCATGCCTTATCCTTTTAAATGGCTAGCTATGCTGCTCATTACATACTCACTTCATATTTCAGAGCAAATAAGTTCTTGAGTACTGACCTGTTCAAAAAAGCATTGCCAAAGGCATTAAGTTTCCTGAATGGTTTTTTGGGATCCACCACCAGTGCATTTCCAGGAACAATTCCTTCCACATCTCCTTGCATCACAGCTATAAAGGAGTCAGTTGTAGGCTCTGGTCCAATCCTCATTCCCGGGAAATCCTGCTCCAGCAGGTACCTATAGGTGAAAAAACAGGGTGCAGGCATGAGACGTGAGCTCCCTAATTCCTAAGTGAGTCGTGCTGGAGATCCCAGAGAAATTATGTAGCCCGAGAGTATGAGTCCTTCCAAGACTATTTTTAGTACTGTCACCGTATCATTTGATTAATGTTGCAGTAGTTTTTCTACTGGGGATCTCCACATTTAAGGCCTCTGCATTTTAGGTGGATTAAAAAAAATGAGAAGGCTGTACAGCAAGCAAGAGATTTTTATTATGTTTTCATCATTTTGTATATTTTAATCCTTAAGACATTTGGAACAGATTTAGCACAGCAAAGTGAAAACAGCAGCACACTGCTATCACAGAGTTAATCCTGAAACCTTACTGGCCTTTGGTGCCAATATCAATTACTTCACTGCAGCTCATTTCAGCAGGCTCATCCAACTAATGTGCTTAGCCCCCGGTCCAAATCAGTCACTTAAATGCCAGCTTCTTCTGTACTTGGCTGTTGAAGTCTTCAGTCTCCCTTCCTGTGTGCTTCTGCAGTGCAGTAACAAGTTTGCAATATAAACCATTCAAGCATATTGAGCACTAAGCACGTGCATGGCAGAGCATATCTCAGTATTTGTTACCAAGCTAAGTGGAACAATATTTCCTTATTATTTCTTAAGATTCTGACAGCCTCTCTGTACATTTAGCAAGTTTCAGGGAAAGATAAGTCACCTGTGGGCCCATAGGACTCCAAATAGGACCCTGGCAGCACATTCTGACTTCACTTGCAAATTCACAATAAGTCAATGGTGTGTGTGTGAGATAGTTTCCTTTGGTTTATAAAGGAGCCAAATGCCATCACTGGGAGCAAAGCTGCCTTTGTGTGTGCAGGTGCAGAAAACATGTCTCTCTGTGCCAAGAACTGAGACTGTTTTGTCTATACTGCTTGCAAGAGGGAGCTAGAACTAGTTCAGCCCTCTGTATGGGATGACATTGGCCCACCTGGCCTGGTGACAAGCTCTGGGCTGTTATATGAGGAATATATAACTGTCAGGCTATGGAAGTTAGCACAGTATTGTGTTGCTTATTGACAGTAGATGCTGGCACTTCCTCTTCGGTTGCTTTAATCTAGTTTTTATGATGAAACTAAAAGATAAATACAGAACCGCAGTAATGTTAAAAATAGATTCATGGGGTGGAAAAAAAGAAGAGGAAGGAAGAGGTGGGGACCTCTAACGTCTGAGATAAGAACTAGCACTAGTTCACTCAAGTGAGTCTTGAGCAAATAAGTGACTCAGTCTTGAGAGAATAAGCTCTCATGTGAAGCACTACAGGACCACTAGCATGAAGGCTTGCGATCACTTTTTTCAGGGTTCCTGCTTTAAGCATCACTTCAAAAGAGGTTCTCAGTCCAGTGCTTTAGGAACAACAAAAGCTTTTTGTGCTCACCCAGCAGACCTATTTACTGACACTATGTCAGTAAATACATCTTTATTTCCCAACGAGCAAGGCTAAAGCAAATGGATCTAAAGATAAAATAAGCAAGCGTATGGTCAAGATAAATTGCAAGTCATCTCTGACTTGATGTGCATTAATGAAGAAAATGGCTGCAGCAAGAACAACTGGAACAATGATGCCCATAATTCCCTCAGTAGTTGACCATCTCTTTCTTGACACATTATCACGTGTTGTCTTACCTTCCCAAAGTAGTTTCCAAGTACTATGCTTACCATATTGCCCCCAGAAATAACAACTTCCAATGAGATCAACTCTGAGGTGAAACAAGCTGTTTGTTCCCATAAAACTGAAATACTTAAGGAAGGGAAGGAAATAGCCCTTCTACCTCCTTATACTGGGGAGGGTAGGCCTAAATAAAGCCTACCTAGGAGCTCTTCAAACTTTCCTATAGAAGTAGATCATTGCTTAAGAGTCAGTTGGCAGTTAATGCTGCAGAGTGCCAACTCCCTTACCGATAATCACAATATGCCTTCCTGGCAGCTGCTCTAACCTCTCTAGTTTGAAGAAGACACTTCCCCCTTCTTTCTCCACCCCCTGCAAACAAGGGCATTGTAGATTGTGATGCGAATGTGCTCGGCTGAGTTCCCTGGAAAGCTCTTCACACTTGAAACAACTGTTTGCTATGTCAGAAGCCATTTAGCCAGACGCTGGAAACTAACCTTAGAAGTAGGATAGTAGTACAAAGTGTTACTACCTGATGGACATCTCTGCTTTGTTAGTCACTGCTACTGGCTTTCTTCTGCTCAGGCTATGTACTTTGCTTTTGTTCTGACATTAAATATTTAAGAGTGATACAAAAACAAGCTTCACTGCACATATAGCAATAAATCCTTGAGTTCTCCCCTTGCAAATGCTAAGTGATAAAACAAACAGTAATATCAATAGCCAAGTGCAACAAATGAGGTGCATTTAGAAGCTGATCTAACCCCACATGCTAGATATCAGCCTTGCTGAGACAGTAACTTGCTTCTTTTATATTGGTTTGAGGTGCGCGTGCAATATGATAGCACTCAAAGCGCCAAGGGAACACAAAAAACCCTGGGCTTTTTGTTTGTTGTTTACAGGCAAGACTTCTGAGAAAGTCTAAGAGAAAGCCCACTATATTATAACAACATTCCTCATCCCACAAGGCTGCTTGAAAGAAGCACAGCTTTTTAATCACAGCTCCACTGAACTAAAGTTTCAAAGCACTTCTGATTTATTTCTTGTAAAAGAACAAAAATCTCAACAAAAGCCCTCTCATGGAGAAGAAATTATGAGATGATGTTAATTGACTTAATGTGCAGCAAGCAGTGCGAGAGCAGAGATGATGATTTGCACTGTATTCTAAGCAAAGAATCTCTGGAAGATTTGGATACATTGTGCAGCAGGGTGCCTGCATTACTGATTTCACTGCACACAGGACAAATACAAGAGGATTTATTGACACTTGTCTGGGGGTGGGAGGAGGCTTTTGCTAGGCAGTGACACAAGCTGCCTCTGCTAACAGAGGAAAGATGAACACATGCAATTGTTAAATCTCTGGGGCTCTCTGAGAGAGGACAGCAAACAATGGCTGTGGGAGACACCAACTGCTAGGAAGCAGCAGCTGTAAGGCTATTTCCCCTGTGAGAACAGTGTGCTGAGCTACTGGACAACTTCCAGAGCCTGTGGAGTGACCTCATACCAGGTTGCAAAGCCTGCAGAAAGCACCAGGCAAGAGCTGCACATTTATTTCTAGCCTACCCACTTGGAGAAGTGTCTGGAGTTGGTATCTGGTTAAGAACATTGTGTTGTCTGCTGCCTTTCAGAGCCGTCCTTGTATCTAGTGAAGATGATGAGGTGTGGGCAGAAAAACTGCTCAAGGGCAGAGCTGGCCTGACCAGGTATGGTGTGGCATAGAAGCCAGGCAAGGAGATCCCAGGCTCTCCAGGCAGGAATGCCTCACAGGATGTGGGGGAGGGAGCCATTTGCTAGTGATGAGTCATGCAGGAGCCCTGCAGGATGCTGTGGCAGCAGAGGTGATGCAGGCTGGAGAGGATGAGGAAAGGGAAGGAGGGCAGTAGGAGGAAATGGTGAGAACTGCCTGGTGGAAGCAGAGATGAAAGGTTCAGGGCCACATGGGGAGGTCACAGAAGGGCTGCCTGGCATAGCTTGTGACAAGTGGTCCAGAGAGGCCAGAACATGTAATTGATTAGCTGTTAAGGGAAAGAGTGGCTACACCAGAAAAGTAAGCCATGCTGACAGTCAGTAGGGCTCTGGCTAGCTTGTTTATTTTATTAACAGGATTGCTACACAGAAACCAGGATTATTTTTAGAAAAGACCACAGAATCTAAGTTAATTAGGAGAGTAATGTTCTATCCTGCATTCCCATCCTCTTACAGGAAACATTAAAAGTAATAACATTAGATGCAGGCTTCAGCAGCATCCTCCCGTCCCAAGGAAGTTAACTGCTCTGGCTGTTGGTCACAGGTAGAGGAGGTGCCTTGCCTCCAACATTCAGGCCTTTCAGATCCCAGCCCTGCAGAAAGCCAAATGGATGCAGACAGAAACTGGAGGGAGAAAAGAAGATGCAATAGGAAGCAGAAATACAGAAATCACTTGGTGATGCTGCCTTTTTTTTTTTTTTTTTGCATAGCAAAAAAAGAAAAGGGTTCAGTTCCCTACATTTCTGAAAGCAAGAGGGAGAATAACTTGGTTTAGCCAGCGCTTTCGTCTTGCTTTGCTGACTTTGACCCACACAGTTCACCTCACTCCTCCCCCAGGAACATTTCTGTGACCTTGACTGCCTTGCTTTTGCCTACTGATAAGAGAGCAGTTTCACTTCAAGACACTGGGTGCTCTCTTCAGAAAGATTTTTTTCCCCCCCTTTAGAGCTTTTCATTTCTTCTTTGCTTACCTCAATAGGAACAAAAAAAGAGGAGAAAAATTCATCTGTAAGGTAGGTGAACAAATTCATGTTTTTGGACACATCTTGTTTCATGCTAACATCAAGACATAATAGTGGTTTCTCTTTCTACTTCTCCCTCCCATTTAATTCTGCCCTGCTCTCTGTTGCTAGCTCCCACTCACCTTCCCACAATAACTGGAAGCTAATCCAGTGCTTATCCCAGTTCTCTAACTACCAGTGCCTGCAAGCTCATGTTGAAAGCCTACTGCAAGCAGCACAGTTACCTAGCATCCCCTGCCTTTGTTTGGTTGGAGGCATACTGGAGCTCTCTTACTGCAAGAGACCCACAGGTTCTTCAACAGTTCACCTTTCACCTTCTCATGCAATTTTAAATAGAGAAATTTCTTCTTTCTAGCTCATCCCAGACTTGCACAAAGAGGGCCCGGAGATGAGGACACAAGCATGAAATGCAATGGTTGAGAAAGGTTCAGATCACCTTGCTGACCTAAGGGATTTCTTGTCTTCCCACAGAAGAGAAGGCTCATCTCTTCCTTTTGTCTGGAACATGCTTTAAGCATGAAGACTTACACAGAAGGAGCTCAAGCTTACAGAAAAAGGAACACAATTGAGCAAAGGCAGGAATGACTGCCAACCACAGCACCCAGGTGTGACTGCAGAGAAAAGCTGATGCTGGTGATCCAGATAAGCATTAGGAAGAGATGCTCTAGTTCTACAGCCAGCAGCATCCTCACATTTCAGGAAAGTTCTGCTCTGAGACATCGATAACTGGGAAGGTAGAAAGAGCCTCTTCAATGCATTTGTTATGAAGTCACAGAACAAAGATCTGGCGTGGAATCAGACAGTTGTCCTATACAAGTCAGCCTCTCATTTTTCAGAAGAGCAACACCCATTCCAACCACATGCCAACTGCTTCTCAGGGTTATTCACATCCTTTCATCATCTACCTGACCTACTCACGTGAGAAAGGCTTTTTCCACTGTTAAATTTTACTTGTCAGGTGCATGCCTGACAATACATTCTGTTCTTGGCTCCTGCATTACTAGCAAGAATACTACAACACACAAACACCCTGCATTCCTCAAGGTCACTCCTGGAGAGGCACAGTCAATTTGATTCACTTCTCTCTACTCTGCACAGCTCCCTCCTCCACCAATTCATACCGGTAGAACAAAGGCCTGGCTGCTTGTGGCCTCTGTCCAGATATACACTGGGGTAATTCCACAGATTTCAACACAGCCACACCAGAGTAACGCTGGAATTTAATGCTAAGCTCATGAATCACGTAGGAAATGCAGACAGCACAGCTTCAGCTAGGATCCCAAGAGAAAGGCTGCTGCAAGCTGAACTAGCAGTGCCTGAGCAGAGATCTCTGCAACAAAGTCCAGCTGGAAAAATTTAACCCTCTCCATGCAGGTTTTGTATCGAGCCTGCTGTTGGCAATTGCTCTCCTTTGCAGTCAGGAATGAACGTGCTTCTGGCACTGCAGCAGGCTGCACAGGACTAGATTTCGGAGCCCTTATGACTGGTAGGTCTCTCGCACATGCACAGACCTAAACACATGCTAGGCTCTGCGTGTTGCCTCTGGGCATAGCACAGAACAACAGCAAGGTGAGGCACAGAGCATTACAAACCCAAGAACCCTCCCTAATTTCACCTAGGCCCGAGGCTGCCCTACCACCCAAGCACTATCATAAGATGGAAGGAATGAGTCCTATCATGAAAAGATGCGACCTGATGGAAAAAAGCAACCTGAGCAGTCACAGCGGTACCTCTGCGAGGCTTCCTGCGCTCTCTACGCTTCGACCGAGCAAGAAGGCTACAAATGACTCACCGCTCCCTGCTCATGCCCTGCCCTGAGCTCTATTCGCCACGTTGGTGTTCTACCAGCTATCCCAGCTGTACCATGCTGCTGGAGTTCAGCCTAAGAGCTGCTGCCCGGCACCAGGGACACCGAGAAGGGAGCTGGGTGCGGACGGCACACGGGTACAAAAGACCCCCGGGCAGGGGCACTCCCTGGCACCCGCACGGCCACCGAGGGGCCGGGCGGCGCGGTTTTACCTGATGAAGGTGGTCTTCCCGGTGGAGTACTGCCCCACCAGCAGCACCATGGGCTTGTTGTCGAAGTCGGCATCCTCCAGGGCGGGCGAGTGGAACTCGTGGAACTTGTAGTGCTCCTCCAGGGGCAGCAGTTTGGTTTTGTAGAGCTTCTTCAGACCCTCGCTGACCGTCTGGAACACCTCGGGGTCCTTCCTCCGGCGGTCGTCGGTGCCCAGCCAGCTGAACATCTTCGGGCCGCCCGAAGCCAGCTCCGCCGCGAGCGCCGAGGTCGGGCGAGGGGCGGTGCGAGGGGCTGCGGCCGGACCTACCCCTGCATGCTCCCTCCGACACCGCTGTCCGCCGCGCGATCGGCACCGGCGGTTTCGGTCAGCAAACGCTCCTCGCGGCCAACCGGCGCCGGGAGACGCCGCTTCCCTTCGCGCCGCCCGCTACCGGCACGGGCATACCGCGGTGAAACGGCGCGAGGGGCGGACGGAGGCGGCAGCGCCCTCAGAGCGCGGCGGGAGGCGTTTAAGGGTTGGCCCTGCAGGAAATGGGCAGGCGCCGGAAGTCGGAACTCCTGGCAGCGCCGCCCGTTCTGCCCGGCGAATGAAGCCGCGCCGGGCGGCGCCATGTTGAGGAGGTGCGCGGAGGCAGAGAGGGGCTGCGGCTGCACTGTGCGGCGGGGTCCTTCAGCCCTGCCGCCATTTTATCCCGCGCTGAAACAAGCTCTGTGTGTGCGAGCACGGCAGGGAGCTGGGCTCCTTCTGCATGATCACGCTCTAGACTGCGATCGTAAAGCCGGTGGCTGAAGTGAGAGCCCTGTCAGCCTGCAGCGCTGCACCAGAGCAGCTTCCTCAGTGCTAGGCTTGGTGATGAGGCACGAAGCTCTCCGGGCTGGCTCGGCTGCGAGTCACGCTCAGTCACTGCTATCTGAGCACAGCAGCCTGTGCTTGGAGTGATTTACTGTTTAACAGTCGTTGGCTGCGCTTTTGTTCCTCTCGCAGTTTGGGCAGCAGGAGGGATGGAGAGCAGGGGTTGGCAGTGCCCATCTATGGCCAGGCCTGCCTATAATACCGCCCTGCCGGTCTGCTAACTGCAGCTGAATGGCTTAGACCGAGCGTTTCCTTAAATATCTCTAAACAGCTTTTTCGTTTGACTGTCTTCACCAAGAAATGTGGCAAGAAGAAGTCTTGGAAGAAGTCCCGTTGTGTCGTGGGTGCCTGCCCTTTCCCAGCCGTCTGTGTCCAGCACTATTTCAGGCTGGAGAAGTTAGATTGGTTGCAGAAGGACATGCAGTGAAAGCAGTTGATTTACACAAGGGCAGACCGAGGTGCACGTGGTCCCAGGTGCCTGGATCTTATGTTTGAATGAGTACAAAGAATAATAAAGTTGTTTCCACTGAATGTGTTTTGTGTTTGTTGGCAGCCAGGGACTCTCCTGGGAATGCACTGGGAGGATTTGGGGATCATTTTCTATGTATTTGACTGGATAAATTTTCCTGATGCTGCAATTGGGTGTGTGCGCAGATACACAGACAGCTTTTCCGTGCAGCCTGACCAAGAGGTGGAAGCAATGAGTCCAGGGACTGGCTTTGTTTTTCTGGAAGGAAATAACAAGTTGACTGTATGTTCTGAAAGTCAGGCTCCCCTACTTTGCTGCCAATGCCTAAAGCTGGTCCGAAATGGGAACTGATGTTTTTAAACCTTTTAAGATTCATTTCCCTTGTTGCTTTAGTTCTTATAAATAGACTGAGATTTTGGCTCTAAGAATTAATTATTTCCAGTAAAAATTCCTGAAAAAAGAAGGACCCCGTAGAAATCAACAAAGTTTGGCAAGAATTCCTTGTTTTGTAAGAAAAACTCGCTTTCATCTTCTAGATAGCTCTCCATTTAAGGACTGCGCTCCTCAGAGGCCAATCTGGTATTTCTCTGGCTATATATGGAGCCTGCTACTCCTCAGTGGTTCCTTGTGATAGTCTCAGGGCTGACTAAAGGTCAGGCCAGGAAGTCTTTGATGGCAAATCTTCCCAGACCACCTTGATACCCTTCCTGAGTGCCACTAATGGGAGAGAAACATGAGTAAGCCTTGTGTTGTGCAACTTCTGGGAACTAGTTGCTGCAGGTACAGCAGAAGCACTGTTGTTCCACATCTACAAGATGAAAATAAGTATTAACAATTAAGCTGTGTTTATTGTAAGTATTTATACCAAAAGGCCAAAAAGCATGTCCTCACAGAATCTGAAGACAGTCCTTTCCATTTGCATTTGTTATTACCATGGCAGATTATGACAAACTTCACAGTTTTTATAGACTTTCTTTAGGTGACTCACACAAGTTGCACAATTCTATTTGCTTTTTTGGTCTGTTTTCTTAGCTGATTCTCTCGGAGAGGCTGACTTCCTCAGGGGCTCTCCTTACCTTAGATATGTAGAGCTTGTCAAAAACAATAGAAAGTAAAATTAGGAAAGGAAGTTTAGAGTATAATCAGTTTTTTTGTTTCTTCTTTTCCTGGTTTCAAACCGAAAATTGTGATCTGCTTTCTGTATTTATTCCTTTTTATTTTTTAAACAGACTTATTTTAATGTAGAGTTTTCTGCTGGGCAGATTGGTCTCAACGCAAAGTTTTTTTTTTAAATTCCATATATATATGCTTAAAAATTTTGAAAGCAGAAAAGGAACTAAAGCAATGAATTTTTAGGGTTTTGTTTTTTTTCCAAACAATGTTTTTTTTCCTATAAAAAGTCTCTGCTGGAAGAAGAGCTGTTATTTCTTTAAAGTCCCTGAGCATTTCAAACACAAACTCACTCTTTTTAATGTCCTGCACATTAATTGCTGTATTGCAGTGCTCGAGATGTGCTGGTACTGGTGGGACAGGTCTGCAGGTGTCCTCTGTTAATGAATTTGTCTCCCTCTCTCTACATAGAAAGATTAAAGTTCTGTTGGTTTTCAGTTTCAGTTGCTGGTGACATGTAAACCAAACTGGGTGTTCTCCTTTTCCAACAGAGAGACTTTGCTAGGGAAGATGCTGCTGGAAGTGAATGGGACTAGACTCAAGTCACGTCTTTGTCTTCAAAACGAAACCTAATGTCTGGGGGCAGAATACGGTGCTGTAACTGAAACTTCACATGAAATCATTACCATGATGTGTGTTTGCTTATCACCCCACCTCAGACTGGACAGGTTTGCTTCCTGTGAAGATCATCTGAGAGTGGGGAGATGGGCAAATATCCATGTTTGAAAAGAGGTTGTGAGTCAGCGCTGTGAAACTTTTGACAGTTTGAAGAAGGTTGTGAGAACAGAGTAGTTCAGTAAAATTCACTTCCTGCCAGGGCAGTTGTTGTCACTGTTTATCACCAAGTCTGAAACCCAAAAAGCAGTGTCAAAAGTTCAGTTAATTATGGATCCAAGAGTGAGTAGCAGAGTTTGTGTGAAAGGCACAAGGGGAGAAGGATGTGCAGCAGCCCAAAATTAAACCCAAACCACTAAAATTTGGTAAGGGACTTTCCTCTGGTTCAACATGATCAGATTTCTCAACTGCCTTCTGCTGTCATGTGGCCTTGATATTGTCTCCAGGGTGGTCTGTCCCTTTGCTACTCATTGCTTTGTCTTTACAACCGAGAAAGCTGCTGCCTTCCTTTCCTACCCTCACTGCTCTTCCATGTTCTTCTGAAATACTTCTCATGATGTTTTTCCTGCTGTTGTTCACAAATGGATGGGTACACCTATGCTGTCCTTTGTCCTGCCCTGTGCAAACAGCTTTTATCCCCTTATTGCTTAGCATGGAACCGAGGGCTGGTACCCAGAAGTTTCACCAGAAATGGGAAATACGGGCTTGGATAGTGTACGTTAATGGGAAGCATCCTTGCTTCAAGATGGTTCGCTCTTTACAGATGTAAAGCAAAGAACGTGTGTTGTAGGCTACCTAAAGGACCTGATCCATATGATACCTGCAATAGTGCCAGAACGAAAAATCCCAAGTCCTTCTCCATACTTAGCTAGCCTTACAGTGCAGAATCTTGGAGATTTCTCATATAACTCTTTGATAGTTTTGATTGACTCTGCCGTAGGATGTACAGTTTCATTTGAACTTATGTGTATATTCTTTATAAAAATTGTTCTGATTTGATGGATTAAGTGGAGTGATGCTCATGGCCCCAGCTGTTCTGAGAATATGTATTTTTTGAGGGTATTTCCTTTCTGACCATTTCCCGACCTGAGCAGAAATTACATTTGAATGTATTCAGACACAGTTGAATGCATTCTCCTGTTCTGCTTTGCCAGTGATGCATGGAGTGTTACAGAGTTTTGTGAGTTGAATAATCAAACAGCACATGAAACAAGGAAGCTGCCTTCTACTTGAGGGGATGAGTCAAACATTAGATGGGCTGACCTTTTATTTTATGTCTTATGTGAGATATTTTACACTAGGGTTCTCAGAAATGTTCTGGCATTACTCAATATGTTTTTTTCCCCACCTTCTACTGCAGTGCTTGTTGGGTGAGTACCAGCCCTTGGTGTTAGGCAGGCAAGGCATATATATACACACATGCACACACAAATATATTCGGAAGTAAGGGTAACACATATGCTGTTTATAAGCGGAGTTCATTACTGCCAGTGGAACAATTATCCTTCGCTGTGAGGACACACCTGGAGAAGGTAGGACATTAAATGCCAAGTGCTACATCTAGAGCTCTGGTGCTAGCATTATTGACCAGTATCCATGTGGGTGGCAGAGTTAGGATGTTCCAAGGGGTTGAAAGAAGTAGAACTCTGTCACTGCTTGCCAGAGGCATGGTGCTGAGGGGAAGCTGTCCTCCAGGATCAAAAGTGTGTATTAGTTACATGATGCTGCTAGCCACACTGAACAACAGCTGCTGCTGTACTTTTCTATGGAAGTGTTAAAGGCAAAGGCAGAAAGTCCATGTCAGCAAACATGAGAATAATGGGTGCGATATAAAGCAACTAAATGAGCTGGGTCAGCTGCTCTGCATGTTACAGTTACAAAGCTTCTGCCTGCCAAATGGTTGGGAACACAGGCTGGTGTTGCAGCTAACCAAGATTTTGTTCACCTTTCTGCTCTCAGCTTTGCTGTTTATAGAAAATTTTTCTGATATTTGGCCACAGAAGTTAAATGTTTCTTCTGAGGTTCAGCTGAAGTTGTGGGCAGTCAGGATCTCTAGTAGTTAGGATGATTATGAATGTGGGTGTTGTAACCTTAAGTGCTAAAGAACAGATCCCAAGTAAATGGGAAATTTGTGTTCCCACTGATTTTTACAGAGCTTGGACAATCTTTAGAGTAAAGAATATATCTTTTAAATTCTCAGCCAGAGTCTTTAAAAGTGTTTATTCAGGGAGGTATTGGCTGAAGCTCTGAATGCCGTCCAGGCACATTCCCTATAGGCTTATTGTTAACTTCAGTGGGAGACTCTGGGGCAGGTTCCCTGCGTGGCCTTGAAAATCTCAGTGCCGGAAGATGTTCTT